TATCCGGAGAACATATCCAGGAAGCTGAGGGCTTCATGATTGGCGGTCCCGTATATGAGCTGGTCAATGCGGGGAAGAGGATATGCGTCCTTGGGGCAGGCCGCATTGAGGCTGGTGAAATCGATGCACATTCTCCAAGCGCCTCCAGCCTTGCGTACAAAGACCGGATTTGAGAGCCAAGTGGGGTATTTGACCTCTCTGATGAACCCGGCTTTGAGGAGGCGTCGCACCTCCTCTTCTAGTGCCATTTGCTTTTCGACCGACAGATGCCTCCTTCGCTGTTGTATGGGTCGCGCTTTGGCTTTGACTGAGAGGCGGTGCTCGGAGACTCTTCTGGGGACTCCGGGCATGTCCTCTGGCCCCCACGCGAAGAGGTCTTGGAACTCTCTGAGGAGTGCGAGGAGCTTCTGGGCTTCCTCTTGGGCGAGGTGCGCGGAGATACGTACTGTCCTCTCTGGCCGCTCTGCGTCCAGCGCGACCGCCACATCCCCTTCAACCGCTTCCGGTCTCGGGACGTCGCCTCTAGTGTCGACCAGATCGACTTCGAGGTGTTCGATGGTGGCTTGGTAGCACTCTCTAGCCTCTTGTAGGTTACCTCGAACGCGTCCGGTTTGTCCTCCGCTTGGGAATTTAAGCATCTGGTGGCATGTGGACGCAACCGCCTCGAACGAAGCCAGGAAGCCGCGTCCAAGAATGGCGTTATATGCCGAAGGACAATCCGCCACGTGAAACTCCACGGGTCTGGTCTTTGTGATTCCTCCTTCTCCTATGGTGACTTTGAGCGTGATTGAGCCGAGGACACGGACTTTGGTGCCGGAGAACCCCACCAAGCTGGTGGTGGAAGGGTTGAGATCTTGGACGCTCTTTTTCATTCCTTTGAGTGCTGAGTAAAATAGTATGTCCGCCGAGCTCCCATTATCAACCAGGGCTCTAGTGACCTTGAACTTGGCGGTTCGAAAGGAAATGACCAAGGGATCTTCCGAGTTTTCTTCGTTGGCCAACTCGGACGGTAAGAAGGCGACCTCGGTCGGTGCTCTCCGCTGCACGTTAAGGCATTGAGCGATGCGGTCTCCTTCGGTTCTTGGGCGCTTCCGACCTCCTGCAATCGTTATGACTTCCATCCCATCGTCTTCATTTCGAGGAGCTCTGTAGGGAGGAGACTGCCTCGGGGAGGCGGCCTTGTTTCGAGAGCGGGACCTTGATCTTTCCTTTCTCGGGCGTCTCGTCTTGTCCTGCTCGGGACTGGGGGACTCCTCCCGCTCTTCTATTGAGTGTTCTCTGTGGGACCGCCTCATTTCTAGCTTGCTTCTGAGGTCTCCTGGGGCCAGATGTCGGAGCGTGGCCTTGAACTCCCTACACTCCGTGGTGTCGTGGGTCGTGATTTGGTGCCAGTTGCACCACTTTTTTCCTTCTTGCGGTTCTTGGGTGGAAGATGTCTCGTGCTTCCTTCCGCCTTTCCTTCGGTCCCTTCCCTTTTCTCTGTCGGTGGAGAGGACATCTCTTCTTCCTTCTCGATCGGGGTACCGGCTCCACGCTCTGAGGCGTCTCCTCTGGGGCGGTTTAGTGGGCCTCGGTCGTCGTTGGCTAGCGCTTCTTCTAACAAGATCGCTCGTCGTACCAGTTGGTCTAAGTCAGACCAGGCTGCCAAGGTCGCCTCCTTTTTTATCAACGTTCTTTTCAGCTCGAGACTAGTTGTCGAGATTCGGAGGTTTCCGGCGGCCACGACTGGGGAGATACCGTCTATTTCGCAAGCTATCGCATTCCATCGGTCGTAGAACTCAGCAAGCGACTCTTCCTTCCTTTGCCGGCAACCTATGAGTGCCGAGACGGTGAGTTTGCGACGTCGTTGAGACGCGAACTTGGTGGAGAAGAGCATCGCAAACTGCTCAAAGTTTTCTATAATTCCCTCCGGAAGGGAGGTGTACCAAGTGCGGCATTGACCGCTGAAGGTAACCGGGAACGCACGACACAGATCCGAGTCTGTCGCGTTGATGAGTTGCATTTTTAACATGAACGCGCAAAGATGGTCGGCGGGATCTGACGTCCCCCCATAGGTTGGAAGTCCTAGAGAGGAGAAGTTCGGGGGGACCGGAGTCTTGAAGAGCTCTCTCGATAGAGGGTTCTGCAGAACGTTCGGGCTCTTGTGCTTCCCAAAGGTTGACCGCAGGTGTTCCTCTAGAAAGTTGAGGTCCGGGTCGTCGGCCTCTAGTCCTCCGCCTTCTGTCCGAGCAGGGCTGTCGAGGACGAGAGCGCCCTTCAACTTTTCGTCGCGCGCCTTTCCCCTCGAGCCCTCGGCGGGGTCGTCTCGGGTCTTCAGGAGTTGAAGAATTTGGGAAAGGCTGTCTTGCATGCTTGCAATTTGCATCCCTTGGTTCTTGACCACCTCTTCCAACTCGGGCTCATCTTCCACCCTCGGTGATAAGCCTCGAAGGGTGTTGTTTTCGGTCATCCCCTTGAGGGGGGTTTCGAAATCGTCTCCCATCTTGTTCGCCACAAAGTAGTAGGGCCCCACGGTGGGCGCCAAAATGTTTGTGCCTGGAATGTACCAAGCGGTTTGTGAGACTCCACTGGCCTTGGGCGGCTTCGATGGTCGGGGGCGGTCTTCGAAACCCTGCAGAAAGGTCCTCAGGGGGTTCCTGGGACCTCCTCCGATGCTTAAGTTAGAGAGAGAAGTGAGGAGAAAGTAAATAAGAGAGAGAATGGAGTTGGTCGAAGTTACCATCAATGTGATCCTATGAGGGGTATTTATACTAGTCTCGACCGGGCTCCGAGCATTTAATGTTGTGTCAGACGCTCCAGGACGCCTCTGGATTTCTCCGCGCCCCTTGTCAGAGTCCGTACGTAGGATCCAGAATGTCGGGCGGTTTCTTGGCGTTGGGGCCCGAGACCGCCTCTGGGTTCCTCCGTGTGCCTTGTCAGAGTCCGTTCGTGGGATCCAGAGTGTCGGGCGGTTCATCAGAGTCGGGTCATTACGTGTCGGGCGGTCCTTTCAGTGTTAGCGTCGTCGGACCGCCTTCGCTTTTGGGCCTTGCTTGCTCTTGTGTGGGCTTTGAGTGCCCTTTTGGGCTTATGGGCCGTGTGGATCAATGTGTGACCCAACAGGTAGAATAAGGAGTGTCAATTTTGTTCTTTTTCCTCTGTGGAATAGGCCAACTTTTTTCCTCTGTGGAATAGGCCAACTTACCATACATATGCGGATTTTAACAGGTCCAGGAGTGTCAATTTTTTTCTTAAAGCCCTTTTATTTCTTCGTGGTGATAAAATATATATGAAAAGCCAAAAACAATACTCCTTTTTATTGCTAAAAATAAAAAATTTAACAATAAAATAATACATGGTATCTAATGGGCTAACCGCTAAACATAAAATAAAAGAGTTGAATGAGCCTGACCTACACAGGATTTGGTCATCAAGTAAAACAAACGAACATCATTGGTTTGCCATTCTAAAACAAGCTATTTTCTCTGACATAATATATATTATGCTATTATTTTAAATCTTAGTGGCTAAAATATAATGTATTTTAAAGTTATTCAATGGTTCAACCTCGACCAACCCAATTAGTACAATTTTTATCATTTCAAATATATATTATCATAATTATTTGATATCAAGTAAAGAATAATTAGAATTTGGCATGGGTCGGTCAAATAGGCTGAATTTCAAGTTTTGGCCCGTTTTGATCAAGTCTAATTTATAATCACATGGTTCCCTGATACCCGATAAAAATCTCAATCCAAACCAGTTTGGCAGTTGAGTCCGTGTTTACCACCATTTTCTAGGGATACGACAACGGCGATTCCTATACCAAATCGTGTTGTTTGTTCTTGATTTTCTTAGATTTTATCATGGCCTAACAAAAACCAGAAAGCACAATGACAACAATATGAAAGTTTTATAAAGCAAATTAATCGACCAAGCAACGATTGTGAGATGCTCATTTCCCGAAAACCAACGGGATAGGCGATTTTTTATTCAATTTTCTGGAATTCGGTTTCTATAAAACTTACTCCACCTCATCATATTAACAGAAACAATATTGTTTCACAAGGTAACATGTACTTGATTTTGGTTCATAAGGCCGATTTTTGATTCATTGAATCATTCATGTCTCTTTCCTGCTAAAATTCACTATTTTTATCACGTGTTTCCAAAAAAAAACTATACAACAATAAGCTATACACCCCATTACATTATCAAATTACATACCTCACCTTCCTCGGCCCAACTGATCGGGGCACACACTAGTTTTTTATATACTTCAAACCCTGTTCTGAGTTGATAATTTAATTGGTTGAACGCAAATTGCGGAGCATTTATCTAGTTAATAATTTAATTTACGTTTCGGTTGGGTACCATCATATATTTGTGGTATGAGTGTGACAAAAACTGTTAGGTGAGAACAAGAAAGGAATGCAAAAAGAAACTTGCAAATATCATATGTTACCGAAGTTTTATTCATGGGAGAAATCTGAGGGCAATTAGGATTAATTGACTAGTAGTGATTAGTGAATAACTCAAACAAAGTTCAGCTAATATGTATGGCAATCGATAATTGTGAATTTTTTTTTATATATACCGTGTTGCAGGTATAATTGCCAATTGTAATGACAAAAAAAAAAAAGCTATAATTGCCAATTGGGAATTAAAAATAGGAAGATGCTGTTTTGTCTACGTTGATGACGACAAAGATTGGATTAGGTGAGAAAGCAAAACTGAAAACGACCCAATCAAGAAGAAAAAGTCATACTCATACACGTAACAATTGCTTACAAACTTCAATTATTACATGTTAAAAAAGGACTGTCCATTTGAGTCAAGCTGATTAGAAATAACAAAAGCTTTTATATAAACAAAAAATAAAAAGAAATAACAAAAGCTTTAATAACGATTTCCTCTCTCTTTCCTCTGGACCACTTCAACAGCTACAACCACTGGGAAGCAACCGTGTCCCTTCTTCCTCCAGTCCTCCTCCAGCTATATAGAAAGAGACCCAAAACTTCCCCTAGCTAGGCAGCAACCTGAGAGAAAATCAGAAAATCAATGGCTTCTTCTTCTTCTTCTCCTCCTCCTCCTCCTCCATCATCTCATCATGCCGATTCCTCCTCCTCCTTCTCAGGAAAATGGGAATACGACGTCTTCTTGTGTTTCAGAGGTGACACCCGTCATAGTTTTACCAGCCACCTCAGTGCTGCTTTCAGAGACAGGCAAGTCAACTTCTTCATCGACAACATGCTCAACAAAACTGAGAGCATCGACGAGTTAACCTCCGTCCTCAAAAGATGTGCACTCTCCGTCGTGATTTTCTCGGAGAAGTTCCCAGATTCAAGCTGGTGTTTGGACGAAGTGGCCACCATTTCTCAAAGCATGACAAAGTTCAGACACCGAGTGCTCCCCGTTTTCTACAGAGTGGATTCTTCTGATGTATCCGGGGATTCTGGAAGCTACGCTAAGACCATCGAGCGGAAATATGGAGCTAGAGCTAGCAAATTTTGGAAAAAGACGCATAGAGCTAGCAAATCTCCGGAGGATAGGAAGAGATGGATGGACGCTTTGAAAGTTGTAGCTAATATTGCAGGCTATACTTCAGAGGCAATCAAGTAAGTCTTCCGTACTTCTAAATTTAAGAGCAATATTCTTACTAATAGCTAGTTACTAGCTAGTTTTGTCGTCCGCGCTTTGTTGCGGTAAGAAACTGATTCTATTTCGAATTTGACAGTTGGTTGATCTAATGATTGAAATCAAATAGTTCAAAAACTAGTTTGGGTAAGATACTTCCACGAGTTACATAAAATATCACATCTGATTAAAATGGTATGTAAAACTAACTTACCTCCCAATATCTTTGTGTAATGCAAATTAAAGAGATGGTTAATAGTTTAGTTAAATCTTAATTAGGAATTTAATTCAAATTTATATTACAGAAGATTTACGTATTATATTTGTTTCATTTATACACAAAAAATTATTATGTCCTAGTCGTTACAAAAGACTTATTTAACACATGGTGTTTAACTGATACGAATAATTATCCCTCTATAAGTTTTACGTATGAATTTTTAATTTGCGTACTTGTTAAAGAACAGTGTTATGTAAATAATCTGTAACGTAAGGTCGAATGAAAAAATTGGACAAGTTATTTAAAGTTTCACATTCGATTAAACTACTATGTAAAAGTTATCTTACCTTACAAGATTTTTGCGTATATGCAAATGATATGATCAACATTGTTGCTATATTAGTTTTAATTAATATAGTTGTGTTACACAAATATAGATGACAACAGGAGAATAGGAACTTAATGCTACGAAAGACATATTTGATAAGCTGTGTTTAATTGATACGTAAAGAATAATTATCCGTCATACAACGTTGTTATGTAAATCTTCCGTAATGTGTGGTCTAATAATAAAATCAGGTAAGTTATTTAAAGTATCACATTTGATTAAACTACTATGTAAAATTTATCTTACCTTACAAATTTTTTGCCGATGCAAATTGATGAGATGATGAACATTATAGTTAATAATAATATGTTATGTTCAATTAGTACATAAAGAATAGGCAAAATACACTTCCATAGCCAAGTTTTGAAAAATATAGCCAAGTTTGTCACAAAGTGTAAAGTTATTGCTATGGAAGTGTATTTTGCCTAAAGAATAACTCTACCTCTATAAGCTTCATATATGAATTTTTAATTTACGCAATTTTTATTAATGATATTACATAAATCTTTCGTTATGTGTGGCCTAATGACAAAATTAAACAAATTTTGTAAGGAATCACATCCAATTAAACTACAATGCAAAGTTATTTTACCTTACGGAACTTTTGTGTAATGCAAATTAATGAGATGATGAACATTGTAGCTAATAATAAGTTTTACGTAATATATTTGCATTAGCCAAATATAGTTGACTCAGGGGGAAAAGAAATCTTAGTGAAATTGGGTGTATGGGATGGATATAAATAACATGAATAGCTTGCTATAGGAAAAAAGAGCTTATGTTGGTGACTAGGTGTAGGAGATGAAAAACATTACCTAAATAGCTAAGTATAGGAGAAGAAGAGTTCATGATAACACTGGATGTAAGGGAAAAAAAACTATGCAAAGTAAAAGTTTACGGTTGAGGGTATGGTTGACTATATGGAAAAAAGAGCTTATTGTGAAATTATGGGTAGAGGATGAAAAAAAATTACATAAAAAGCTTAGCGTAGGCGAGAAAGAGCTTATGAACCATAACATTGAGTATAGGGGGTAAAAAGCTCTAGTAAAATAATATCTTACGGTAAGTAACTCCCTTGTGAACACTGTCCACTACAAAAAGGGGAACAAATTTAATACTATCCTATATTTTAGTAAGAAACCGTGAATTATACTTGCGGTTTTATATATACATGGGTAGCAATCATTACGAATAACATATGTCATGCATTTGTGCAAGTGATACATAATAAATATCTATCCATACATGAGATTTTATGTAGCGTTTAATCATTATGGAAGATTTACATAATATTTTTGTTTAATTGATACATACAAATTAATAATATGTTAATAAGCTTTACATAATGTGTTAGTCATTAAGAAAGACTCATGTAATATCTTTGTTTGCATAATGGCTTTCCCTTTATAAAATTTTATTTATCTAGTGTCTATAAATTTTACAAATGAATGTAAGATTTATGTAGTTATTATAGAATGTTGTTTATGCCAGTGTTAATAGAATGTTTCTACATAATCCTTTCATAATGTCATGTCTAATAATAAAATCAAGCTATAGAATTTAATGTTTGAAGAATTTCTAATTTATGTAACTTATAGAATGTTGTTACATAAATCTTTCAAAATGTGTGAGTTAATAATAAAATAACATTTTCGAAAGTAACATATAATTAAAACTATTATGTCAAAGTTAACTAATCTTGCGGGACTTTCACATAATGCAAATTGATGACACGCAAAATATTTTAGTTAACAATAATGAAATTTTAATTAATAATTTAATGTTATTTTTTTCGTTGAATTAGATCCCATTTTCATTTCATAACGAATTATCTAATACAACGAGAGCCTCATTTAATATTATTCCTATTAGTTAGTAATTAAATAACAATGAACTTATGATAAACCGTGAAAATAAAGGAGTTCTAGTTAAATAACAACGAAATTTATGATAACATTGGATGTAGGAGATAAAAACTCCTTGTAAACCAAGCCCATTACAAAAAGGGTAACAAATTCAATATTGTTGCTATTTTTTGAGTAATGGACAGTAAAAAAAAAAATACTTGTGCATTTAATTATATAATAATAATTGCCTCCCTCATCATGTCTCCAGTTTTTCTCATTATAATATTCTTTTTCTTTTGTGTTATCTTTTTGGGTTATTAGGATCGAGTCGGAATTAGTTGAGGCAATAGTCAACTGTGTTCAGAATACACTGTTAGAAATGTCACCGAGGGTGAAGCCCGATAACTTGATTGGCATAGATTTTCGCGTTGATGAGGTTGTAGAACTATTAGCTATGGACACAAATGATTTTCGCATTATTGAACTTTGGGGGATGGGTGGTGTAGGAAAGACCACTCTAGCCAAAGCTTGCTATCAAAGGGTAATTTCTACAGTGGAAGGAATCAAGTATCACTTTGTTGGTGACATCAACCAAAGGGATGCGATGGAAACGAGAATGGAAGAAATGATAACAAAACTCTATTCAACACTGTTGTCTGAGAGTAACCTAACTTATGATAACTTGTTGTTTGATGAAAGAAAGAGGCGTCTTTCTCATCTGAGGGTTTTCCTTGTTTTTGATGATGTGGAAAACTTGTCACAAATAGAGCGATTGTTGCTCGGAAATCATTTGAGTTCCACCCATCTCTTTGCTCCGGGAAGCAGAATTATCTTGACAACCAGAAACAAGATGGTGGTTGGAAATGTAGGGGCTAAGATTTACCATGTGGATTGTTTGAGTCATATTGAATCTCTTCAACTCTTTCAACTGCATGCATTTGGAGAAAGCCGTCCATCTGATGATTTGATGGGACTATCAAGTCGAGCTGTATCTTATTGCCAGGGATGCCCTCTAGCCATCAAAGTTGTTGGTGGTGCATTAATAGGTAAGAGCAGAGATTATTGGGTGAGTTTCTTGAGTGATATGAGGCAGATTCCAACTCCAGAAATTCGTCATGTTCTCATGAGAAGCTACAACGCACTGGGAGGTAAGGAAATACAGAGTTTGTTCTTGGACATTGCTTGTTTCTTCTACGGAACAAACAAATCTTTAGTGACAAAATATTCCCCTGCCTATCATTTACTCGAGGTTCTAATTGATAAATCCTTGTGCACTTGCGTGGTGGAACGAACCCGTGAGAGGATTCAAGTGCATGCCTTGCTAAGAGAATTGGCTTGGAGCATTGTTAATGATGAATCAATAAAACTGGAAAATCCTACTCGGTTGAATAATCTTGGGGATATTCAGAAATTGCTTACAAAAAAAAGTCTGCCCAGCTTACAGGGAGGTAGTACAGCTCAAGGCATATATTTGGATCTTTCTAAAGCAAGTGAAATAGATGTGGAAGCCAATGTCTTCGAAGGGATGACTTCTCTTCGATTTCTCGCCATTATTTATTCAGGGAATAAGGAAGGAGCTCCTAAAATTCATGTGCCATACGATGCTTTTACAACCCTTCCTGACAGTCTAAGATGGTTGCAGTGGCAGAAATTCCCTTCAAAATCTCTACCTTCAAGTTTTACTCCGAAAAATCTTGTCGCACTTTCTCTAGAGTATAGCCCAATACTCAAAAGATGCTGGGATGTTGAGGTATGTGAAATGCATTTTTCGGAGTGAGTTGAGTTCAATTTTTTTTGGTAATCTTTGTGTATTAATCGAACTCTGAACAAACCATTTTTATTTGATTGCTGGAGTGGGTTGGGTTTGATTACTAGACTGTATTATATATATTATAGTCTTGTTATATATTGTTTTGCAGCCGGAGCTTGCGAATCTAGTGTTTCTTAACCTCTCCCACTGCATAAATTTAGTAGCAATTCCGGACCTGTCAGGGTCTCCGAAGCTGGAATTCCTCGGCCTCCTAGGGTGCAAAAGCCTGGTTGAGCTACCATCTCATGTTGGAGATTTAAACAAGCTGGAAGTACTGGACCTCCGTCGTTGTGCAAATTTAACGATCCTTCCGCCCAGACTCAACTCAAAGTTCCTCAAGCATTTTTTCCTGTCCCAGTGTCCCAAGGTCACTCGTTGTCCGGAGATCGATTCACGAGAGTTGATGATTTTGGATTTGGAGCAAACACCTGTTAGAGCCTTGCCACTTGCGATTTACAACATCAAGGAGGGTGGCTGTCTATCGCTCTCCGGCAGACACATCACTTGCTTCCCCGCGATCTCAACAAGCTTGGATCTGTTGGGGCTCACATTTACCTTAATAACAGAGATGAATTGTTATGATGATCATCAGCTGGGTTCTTTGCCAAGATTTTCTGCATTGGAGTTGGTTGCCAACCTCCAACTCAAGAGCTTGCCAAAACATTTATGGAGCATGGTTTCTCGGTCTCTCCTCATCCATTACTGCCCGTCGATTGAAACTTTGCCAGAAATCTTTCATCCCGTGACTGGCTTTGCTAACATATATATAAAAGGATGTCTAAATCTGAAGAGCTTTCCGACTAGCATCAACAATCTAAAATCTTTGCAGCTCCTCGGTTTGGATAACACGGATATTGAGTCCCTGCCTCCAGCTATTGTGGAACTTGACCAGCTCACGGATTTAGAGTTGCCCAACAACAAAAGGCTAAAGTTCCTCCCGTGTGACATCCATAAGCTTGCCAAGTTATCCTACTTGAACTTGTCAAGCTGTACAAAGATTAAATTTTTGCCAGAACTCCCACCCAGTCTTCTAACTCTGTGTGTAAGTGGCTGCACATTGTTGCAAGCCTTACCAAGCAACGCAGACAAGCTGAGATTCAAGGATCTCTACTTTGAAGATTGCCCACAATTGGATCCGGATCTTCCTCAACAAGTAATGCTTAATTTCTATGATCTTGCAGCGTCGGATCTACATCCTAAGGTATTTAAACATTGCAATACTATAATTATTATCTTATCTTTTAAGATCAGTATTGGCGGTAAATTAATCTTGAAGACTCTTTTTATGAAAACGTCTCTCTATTATTGGTTTTAGGGTGTTCTTCAACATTCGGGGAGTGAACTTCCAACGTGGTTTGATTACAAAAGCTCGAATCATGCAAGTGATTCTTGTATGATGGTGCAATTCACTCTTCCAAACTGCACTACGGAGCGGCGAATCAAGGGGATTGCATTTGGCCTTGTGTGTTCTTTAGATATTGGAGAAGTCGATATATCTGTCACTTGCGATTGCAACATCGGCAACATTGCCGCTGCTGCATCTTGGTGTTCTCCCAGTTTTGGTTTTGGTCAGGACTCCCAATCAGACAACGTATATATATGGTATGACAAGAACCTGTTAGGTGAGACCAAGAAAGGAGTGATACTTATACGAGAGGAAGCAGACCCTTGGTATGAGCGATATGCTGGCCTCCAGGGTTCCTTCAGATTTTCCCTTCAACCAAGTATTGGACAAGATCCAGAGAAATTAAGGAGAATCAAAATCAAAAGTATTGGCGTCTCTCTACTGTTATCAGAGCAGAAGAATGGAGCTCAAGGTATGCTGGCAGTATCGAAGAACAAGGGAAAGGAAGTGCAGGAATGAAGAACAGAGAATGCCTTTACTGTTAGCTAGCCGTTAGAAGTTACAGAATCGTTAAGTGCCACGTGTATAGGCACAGTTAATTTCTTTTTCAAATTACAGTTTTACTCATTTCCGTTTTTACTGTTCTGAACACTTGGTGGTATAAACAGAAAACAGAGAGCAAGATGCTTCTCTGAGTTTTCCCCTCCAATCATTCCAGCTGCTTAACCTAGCAGCTTCCGTTTTTACTGTTCTGAACACTTGGTGGTATAAATAGAAAACAGAGAGCAAGATGCTTCTCTGAGTTTTCCCCTCCAATCATTCCAGCTGCTTAACCTAGCAGCTTCTCCATACCTCCTTCTTCTTCTTAACTGTCTCAGTCAGACATTCCTCATTTAGTTGTTGTTCATTCGCTCTCTTGGCCTCCCAAAAAAAAAAAAAAAAGTCATCAATTTTGGAATGCCCTCGTCGACTACTTGGTGCACAAACCGCCGCAGCCCTCCGGCAGCCTCCGTCTGATACTGCAGTGTTGGGGGTGGCGATGAGGGCTGCTGGACGTGGAGATTTTCTGCAACGTGTGTGGGAAGACTAATAGAGAGGCAAGATGATCATTCCTCTGGTGATGTGAGTTGCTCAGCAGCAACCACAATATGCAGCAGCTCTGTTCCAGAAATGAAGAAGACAACGAAGAACAAGGAGCAGAGCAAAACGGAGACGTTTGGTTTTAAGTGTAGCCACAAACGATGTCGTCCCGCACCAACAGACTTAGTTTCCGTTTTAACTGTAGATAGGACACATGTATAGCATTCATTGGTTGTTTTGTTTGTTAGTTTCATTTAGCCGTTAACCTACAGTAATTAGTTTCAAACCTCTGTATATATATGATTTTACATCAATGGAAAAGGCTCAGTGAGCAAATTCCCCCAGATCTGATTTTCTTCTCATGGTATCAGAGCCTGGTTGCTCTCAACCATTCTAGGGTTTCGTCCCCTATTCTCTCTACCTCTCTTCACTCTCAATCTTCTGAAAACAAATCAAAGCAACAATGTCTGGAGAAACAGAATCAGCAGCTGGGAAATCCACCCAGAGTTCAGCAAGCTCATCATACGAAGACCCTTACCTCAATCCCTACTATCTTCCACCTCAAGATGGTGCGTTGTCCACCATCATCTCTGTAAAGCTAGTTGATGGGAATTACCACACCTGGAGTCAAGTAATGCTTGTCGCCCTGGCTACCAAGAACAAGGTTGCTTTCATTGATGGCACCATACCAGTACCCAAGGTAACAGATCCCTCTTATCAGTCATGGCTGCGTTGTAATGGTACTATTCGCTGCTGGATTTACAATTCCTTAGCTGAAGATATAGCGAATAGTGTCATGGGTTTGGAGAGTGCTCAGGCTGTTTGGGAAAATCTGAAGAACAGATTCAGCCAGGAGGACAATATTAGGGTTTATGATTTGAAGGGTCAATTAGCCAAATGTGTTCAAGGGGAACAATCTATAAGTCAGTACTTCACCAACATTACTGTGTTGTGGGAGGAGTTGAAAAGATATCGCCCAATACCTTGCTGTCCTTGCAATACCCCATATGAAACTATGAAGAAATATGAGGATAATGACTTTGTCATTAAGTTTATGGAAGGATTGAATGAGAGCTATCAGTCCGCCAAGACCCAAGTACTCATGAACTCAACTTTACCATCTATTGATGTTGTTTTCAAGCAATTCTTGCAATTGGAACGACAAATGAAGAGTGTTCCTAAGTCTGGTGGAGTTGATTCAGTAGCACTAGCAGTTGGTGCATCAAGGAATTCTGGTCATAACGACAGAGATTACAAGGATGGCAAGAAATTCTGTAGGTATTGTAAGAAAGACAACCACATTATCAGTGAATGCTACAGACTGAAAAACAAAAAGACTAGAGAATCTGGTGGTTCAAGCTTTGCTGGTTCAGTTGAAGCAGGATCTGAATCTGACTCTGGGATTCTTGGAGCAGCATCTATACAACAAGATGCACCAGGCAGAAACAACTCAACTAGCCTTGCTAGTCTTCAACTGAGCAGTGATCAAATGGAAAGACTGAGGGTCCTGCTGCTTGGATCACCACCACCATCATCTCCTTCTCCACCAACATCACCATCTATAAGACATGCTGCAAATGCAGCTGTCACTACCCAGCATCAACCTGCACAAGCAATGCCAACTCAATATCACCCTGTTTATCTTCCTTCAAGTTCAGGTACCACAGTTCTCTCTACTCTTCTAGCTAGAACAGTGGAACCATTATGGGTTTTAGACACTGGTGCTACAGATCACATAATTTGTGATCTAAAACATTTCTTGAAGCATAGACCACTGCAAGGAGTCTATGTAAATTTGCCAAATGGCAACAAAGTTCAGGCCACACACATAGGAATAGTTAGACTTCCCTGTGGACTATTCCTTTCTCAAGTCCTATATGTACCAAGTTTCAGTTACAATCTTGTTTCTGTCAGTAAGCTCACCAAAAACAATCCTGTCTCACTCCTTTTCAAATCCTCTTTCTGTGTCATTCAGGACCTTATTACACAGAGGAGGATTGGTTTAGCCCAAGTGGATAAAGGGTTATACCTGTTCAATGAGACTCAAACCATCACTCAAGATTGTCATTCCTCCAGTCCAAAGTGTTTTGCTGCTTCACCACTCAATTTCCAGCCACAAAGTTTTGATCTATGGCATGCCAGATTGGGGCATCCATACATTTCCAGATTAGAAGCTATACACAAACAATCTCCAAATGTATCAGTTTCTAAAATTGTTCACTGTGATGTTTGTCATTTGTCAAAACAGAAAAGGTCTCCCTTTCCAGTTAGTACCTCAGTTCATTCCTCTTTGTTTGGTTTACTTCATGTAGACATTTGGGGGCCTTTGAGCACCACTTCATACAATGGTTTCAATTACTTTTTAACCATAGTTGATGACTTAAGTAGATGTGTGTGGACCTATTTGATGAAGTCTAAGGATGAATCTAGAGGTCTGTTACAATCATTCTGTGTTATGGTGAAAAATCAGTTCAACAAGTCCATTCAGATCATCAGAACTGACCAGGGAATGGAGTTTCATATGGATGACTTTTATAGAACAAATGGAATTGAACACCAGATGAGTGTGGCATACACTCCCCAACAGAATGGTCGAGTTGAAAGGAAGCACCAACATTTATTAAATGTTGCAAGAGCTCTTAAATTCCAGTCAGGTCTTCCTCTACCCTACTGGAGTGAATTTATACTGCATGCTGCCTATCTGATCAATAGGATTCCTACTCCCATCCTAAATAATCTCAGTCCATATGAGAAGCTTTATGGTGTCCCACCAGACTATAGCACCTTGAAAGTTTTTGGTTGCTTAGTCTATGCTTCTACAGCAGGTCCACACAGAACTAAATTTTCTCCCAGAGCTAAGCAGTGTATCTTCCTTGGTGTACCTGCTGGCATCAAAGGTTTCAAGCTTCTTGATATTGACACCAGAAGGGTGTTCTGCTCTAGAGATGTGATCTTTCATGAGCACATCTTACCCTTTTCCAACCATAGTTCTACTGTTTTTCCAGCTCCATCTCATACACAGCCTTCTCCAACACCTTTCTCATTCTTTCCACCACCTGCTTCCTCACCAAATATCCATACATCTGATTCTTCTTTTTCTTCAGATGCCACAGCTCCTGTGAATCCTCAGTCTGAGGGGGGCACACAGCCTCCATCATCTCCATCTCCATCTCCCCTATCTAAATCACCAATTCCTTTTCTTATTCCCTCAAGTCCATCCTCACCAAGTACTTCCTCACCTCACATTCATCCTGATGATTCACAGATCACACCCTCCTCTTCTTCTTCCACCTCACCTACACCTTTATCACCTTCACCATATTCACCCATTCCATTAAACAGTCCTGCTCATTCCCCTTCTCATGCTCAACTGAGAAAATTGACCAGGATTGTCAAACCACCCAACTGGCATGCAGACTATCATGTCACACATCCCATTCATAGAGCCCTTTCATACACTCATTTATTACCAAAACACCAACATTTTATAAACAGCTTGACCTCACAAAGAGAACCATCTACTTACCAAGAAGCAATGCAGAGTCCTCATTGGGATAGAGCAGTTCAAGAGGAACTAAAAGCCCTGATTGATAATGGAACATGGGAGATCACAGATTTGCCAGTTGGCAAGAGGGCAATAGGCTGCAAGTGGGTCTTCAGAGTTAAGCTTCATTCAGATGGAACAATTGAAAGATATAAGGCAAGACTGGTTGCCAAAGGGTATACCCAAGTTTATGGCATAGACTACTGTGATACTTTTTCACCAGTAGCTAAGCTTAGCTCAGTTAAAACATTACTTGCAGTTGCAGCAGTGCAGAATTGGCACTTACATCAGATGGATGTAAGTAATGCCTTTTTGAATGGTGACTTAACAGAAGAAGTTTACATGGAAATACCTGATGGTTTGAATTTAGGAGTTGATTGCAAGGGTAAGGTCTGTCATTTGAAGAAATCCCTCTATGGATTGAAACAGGCAAGTAGACAGTGGTATACCAAGCTTACTGAAAGTTTATTGAAGCATGGATTCCAGCAATCTACTTCAGATTATTCCATTTTCACAGCACAGGTTCTTGGTGCACTGGTTGTGCTTATAGTCTATGTTGATGACATTTTGATTGGAAGTATCAGCTTGGAATCCATAACAGAAACTAAAAGAATCTTACAAGGAGAATTCAAGATGAAAGATTTGGGAGAATTGAAGTACTTCCTTGGTTTGGAAGTAACAAGAGGAGTAAGAGGCATTACTGTTTCACAAAGAAAATATTGCCTAGAACTCCTAACAGAATCAGGATTTGAGAATTGTAAGCCTGCACCTACTCCAATTTATGTTAAAGAAGTGTTGTCTGCTACAGGAGGGACTCCTTTACTTGATGTTGCAGGTTACAAGCATTATGTTGGCCAGTTGCAATACTTGACAACTACAAGACCAGATATTGCATTTGCTGTACAGCAGCTATGCACATATCAGGATAATCCCACAAGCTTGCATTTGAGGGCTTTACATAGAGTTTTAAGGTATCTCAAAGGATCCCCTGGACAGGGACTTCTCTACCCTAAGGATACTAAGTTGGAGTGGAAGGGATTTAGTGACTCAGACTGGGCCACATGTCCAGACACAAGAAGATCAATAACTGGATACTGTACTTTCCTTGGTTCTGGGATTGTTACATGGAAGAGTAAAAAGCAGAAAACAGTATCAAGATCTTCTTCTGAAGCAGAATACAGAGCCTTGGCTAGTTTGAGCTGTGAGGTTGAATGGTTGATCAGATTGCTCAAGGATTTTGGAGTTGAACATCCTCAAACAGTCAAGGTGTTCTGTGACAATCAGTCAGCAATCCACATCGCTGAAAATCCAGTGTTCCATGAGAGAACAAAACATATTGATGTGGATTGCCATGTGATAAGAGAAAGAGTGCAGTCTGGGTTGATTGCTTTACATCATATGCCAACTGATTCTCAACCTGCAGACATCTTCACCAAGAGTTTCGCTTTGCATCTTTATTGTCCAAGCTGGGAGTATATGATATATACTCGCCAGCTTGTGGGAGGGTAATAGAGAGGCAAGATGATCATTCCTCTGGTGATGTGAGTTGCTCAGCAGCAACCACAATATGCAGCAGCTCTGTTCCAGAAATGAAGAAGACAACGAAGAACAAGGAGCAGAGCAAAACGGAGACGTTTGGCTTTAAGTGTAGCCACAAACGATGTCGTCCCGCACCAACAGACTTAGTTTCCGTTTTAACTGTAGATAGGACACATGTATAGCATTCATTGGTTGTTTTGTTTGTTAGTTTCATTTAGCCGTTAACCTACAGTAATTAGTTTCAAACCTCTGTATATATATGATTTTACATCAATGGAAAAGGCTCAGTGAGCAAATTCCCCCAGATCTGATTTTCTTCTCAAAGACGATGAATTTTAGTTCAGGCAATCAGGTGGAATGCCCTCTGTGTAAATGCTCGAAGAGGAAACAAGGTATACAGAGTTTGTGATGCTTTGTCCTTCCAATTGCACTGTTCTTGCTTCTTTTTCAAGGGAATTTCTTGATCTCTGCATCAACCAAGCTTTGTCTGTTAGTTATTATGCACTTAAGCAAGCAAAGCCAATGACTTTGATGCTAATTTCGCTTGCAGAGGTGATCGGACTAGAGATATCCTACAAAGTCTCTGCTGAGGTATAATAACACACAACTCCTTATCTCTATATCTAGATGAAGTATGGATGAACATTCAATTTGTTTGCTTTAACTGTTTGATGTGTTGGAGTTGAACTGTGTTGGTCTCGAACTAGTTCTTGGTCTGTGAAGATACATTGTTAGGTTCTTCTTGGCTACGGCTGAATTCAAGGCTGGATTTTTGTAAGGAAGTGGTTTAGATCTTACTTGGACAAGATGATAAATTTTACTGAATCGATGTTTGTGTAATTGTGTCCAAGATGGAAAGGGTTAAACCTGTGTGCTGCCCTTGGTTAGACTGGGTCAGGGCGTTAGGTATGAAGCTTTGATGCCTTGTATTAATTAATGCCTCTGGCTTCGTAGGTCTTGATGGTAGACTGAATTTTTTACTTGGCTTTTTTCAGTACCAGTTAATCTGATGTGCAAAGTTATGTTTTTCTGGTATGGTTATGGTGCTCAGGATATCAGAAGGGATCTCACATTTTGAAGGAAAGATGGAAGTGAAAGACATGGAGGTAACTGCTTACTGACTACTCAGATCACTTGTAACTTGTAAGGGTTTCGAGGTCTTAATCTGATGACAACTTGTGGTTTCCAAATTGGCTTTTGACGACGACAGATAAACAAAAAGTGCGAGAAATGCAGCAACACGAAGCTCAAGTTTTCGACTAGACAAGTACGCATCCAGCTACTCTAAACACACTTTCACCTACTCTCCCCATCTCTCTCTACCTCTCCAATCATGTTTGAAACCTTATTGTGGTTGATCATTGTTTACAGATGAGGTCCGGGGATGAGGGGCAAATGACTTTCTTCCACTGCCCTGTTTGCTCACATACTTTTACCGAGAACTGAACGAGCTTGAAACTATAACTTTTGTAACCAAGACGAATGAAGGTCTTACATTCTATACAAAGATAAGCTTCTTTTGGGTGTACAGTACTGGCTCTGTCTTGTAAGGAACTGGAAGCCAGAATCCCAGCTAGCTCTGTATCCCATACTAGTTTTTGTTAGATGATCCAGTCACCAGTTGGCACAGTATGCTATATATCATCTCATTCTTCTGCCCTTACACTAGAGCTAAAAAGGAAGAAGTAGGGTTCTAGCTGTTATTGGGGAAAAAGGACAATACACAAGTTGATGCAGTGTACAAAGAACTCTTGGTCCTGTGTACCTTGTACAAGAAACAGATATAGATAGATGGATCAAATTCCCCAAGAATTATCATGGGGAGCAGGTTTGACATTCTTATCATATAGGTACCTCTTTATTTGCTGGAGGAAGACAAAAGACCTGAAGCTTTGTCAAGCACACCAGCGATCCCTGCAACATCCTGTTTGTCAGCAAAAAAAGATATGGCCATCCACAAAAAATACATAGAAAGCACAAGAATTTGGAGACACTGAAAGCCGAGTACACAACAATATGGATCCTAATAAATCAGTCTGTGACGATGAATAGAAAACAAGAAGTCAAGGGTGTTTGTTCTTCACATGATTTTGGGGTCAATTTCAATGACTGCCAACTTGGGAATTGTAGTTGGCTTGTCTTCCTAGGCTGCAAGTTACCAGCTTCCACCTAACTAACAACATGACCACCCGCTTAGGCTTGGGAGACAAGCGCCTCTCGACCATCAGATCCATAAACCCAACCATCTTCATGTAGAAACCTTTGCTAGACAACATCTGATGGGTGGTACGCATACATATTGGCAGCTTACTGGCTATAGCTACAAGTTACTTTATCGTGATTCGGGCAGTAGGCGAGGCCCGTGTAAATTCCAACAACTCTTGACAAATCAACCATCGATCTTCAACTCCAATGCCGGCTGAGAACTCAATTTCCATCTTATCAAGTGCTGGTGATGTCGCCAAGAATGATCGTACCAAAGCCATTTCCAGCCTTGTACCGTCAAATTGATTCACCTTCACTAGCTTCAGTTTTGGCCTTAGCTTCCTACTATTGTAATTGTTTATATACTTCAAACCCTGTTCTACATTACCAGATTTGTGTGGCTTCCCAATCTGAAAATATTCAAACACAAGACAAACTCACTTAGATGGAAGGGCAAAGAAACACGTCTGATGTATTTTCACAGCTGACTTAGCTACATTGATCTAAATTGAAATGAGAACGACTAAGATTCTATCGTTATAACCCATAAGAGAAAATGACCATACTCCCGAAACTGATAAGAGGAAGGGGTGAGAAAGATATCATCCACTCACGTTGATGATTAATTCAGTCAAGCCAGCGGAGGAATTCATCAAGCCAAAACCAGACCACAGATAGGCAGTAAGAGTTGAGCCGAGGCACAAATCATCCAATCTTAGATGCTTCAGGTTAAGCGTACACCACCGGCTGCAAGACTTAATTGCATGTTCAGCTCCGATAGTCAAGTACTGAAAACACATACATTGTCATAAATAAATTAGTCTAGCTAACAGTAGACAATAATATCATTCATGTACGTATAAATTAAGATAAAGGTCGAAGGAGCTGAGAACATTAGTTTTTACGTACGTCGTAGAAAGAACCAGAGACAGAAAGCCGCTCCACTGCTGGAAGACCGACTGCAAAGTTCAAAAAGTTTGAGTAGCCTTTGGCCACAATATTGATGCTGGAATCTCGATGGACATCTACGGTTTTGAGGAGTGGGGTATGCTTGAACTCCAGGAAGCTGAAGCTCCCCAAAAGACGGAAATATTCTAGTTTAGGAGCCTCAATGACAATGCTAATCTTGCTGGTATGATGGCCGCAACCTTCCATGGTCAATGCAGAAAGCAACAGGCAGTTGAAGCTGAAACAAGCTTCATCAACTTGTGGTACCGCTAAACCTATAAGCTCGAGAACGTCGAGCCCAGCAAACGAAGCACTGTCAAATTCGACGTTGGAGGATGTGAACTTGCAGCCACACAACTTCAACTTCTTGAGTCGAGTGAAGGAGTAAATTCGCCTTGGCAGCACATAGTCTGTGATCTCAATAGCCAGCGACTCAATATGTTTGATGTTTAAAAAGTCGATGATCTGGTCAATCCGATGGTCGGGAAACGAGCTTCTTAGTTCAGGAATCAAAAAAGAAAACTCCTTTAGGCGACCTCGGTGGTGCATGAGAACGTTGAGAATATCCAACATAAGTTTGTAGTTAGCAGCAGCTGCTATATCAGGTGAACCTGCAGCTGCGACTGGTCTCACTACCTTACCAAACTTGTCATCGATGACAAGGGCAGGCATATTTACCCATCTGTTCCTCCATTCCCTTGACAAAACACTCGTCCTCACTGCTTCTCGCAGCGGCAAAAACGTCAGAATGTGATCCAAAACACTGCTTGGCAACCCACTGATTCTGTCTGCACCCCACATCCTAGCCGGCTGGTCCCTTCCTTTTGCTGCACCAATTAATGCACAGTTAATTCCTTGCCATTCCCATCTCTATCTTAGTTTGATAACGCCATGGATAGTGAGATGAAACCATCTTCCCTTCCCCTAATTATACATTACCCTAATATGAAGAGCTTTGCTCTTATGAATACTACTTATGCTCACTACCAACTGAATCGCATAAATTAAAGGAAAGAAATTTGGAATGATGAAGCAAAATGGCCACAAACCCTAATCTTATATATTCTCGTACTAGTTAAAAGTTAAAACACAGAAGGGGGAGAGTCAACTAGGCGCTCACCGTCGATATCACCAGTTGTTCCTTCTAAGTGCGACGTTAGTTGCTGCGGCGGCGCTGCGTGCGCTAGTTTTCAGGAAGCAGACAGCAATTTCACGTCTGGCCGACGAGGAAGGACCGATTGTGGGCAAATTGCAGAGTTGAAGAGCTAGGTTGGCACTTGGCAGGGAGAACTACAAGACGAGGTGGCAGAGAACGAAGAACAGAGAGGAAGGGAAAAGGGAAAGTAAGAGAGAGAAGTATAGAGATTGGAAATTGGTTTTCGCGCTAAAATTAATAAACAAATTAACAATATAAAATCAGTGTGTGACCGCTGTGACGGCGATAGCCGATAGCGATACGGGCCTGTCAAAGCCCAAAAAACCCTATTCTGGATCAGTCCCTCGGGCCTCCGCCTCGTGGCTCCTGCTTTCTGCCAAAACCGCCGCGCTTCCTGCCGTCCGGCCGAATCTGCTTCAGAGTTCAGACGCCTCCCTTTTGTCTGCCAATCGGTTCCGTCCACCAGCAGCATCGATCGTCACCTCTCCGCCGTCCTTCCGCCTCCACCCAGCCGGTCTTCCTCCGTCCGATACTGCAGTATTTCACGCGCAGGGTAACGATGAGGGCTGCTCGACGTGGGGATTTTATGTTCTGCAATGTGTGTGGGACGATGATGAATTTTAGTTCTGGAAATCAGGTGGAATGCCCTCTATGTAAATGCTCGAAGAGGACGAAAGGTATGACACAGTTTGTGATGATTTGTCCTTCCGATTGCATTGTTCTTGCTCAATTTCTTAGCACTTGATGATCAAAGCATCGTTGGTTGTTCAAGGGCATGGCTTGAACTCTTTAATCATGTGAACTTGCTCCGTTTGTTATTAAGCTCTTGAGCAAACAAAGCCAGTAACTTGCTACTATTGTTTGCAGAGGTAATTGGACTAGAGATATCTTACAAAGTATCTGCTGAGGTATAATAAAACAACTGCCTATCTCCATATCTATGTGAAGTTTGAAGTTTGAACCTTTTAATCAAATTTTTGCCATACATGTTTGATGTGCTGGTATTGAACTTCTTCTTGTCTGTGGATGAATCAAAGGTGCGATTTTTCCCGAAAGGAAGTGTTTAGATGTTATTAGGATGAGATGATAAATTCTGGCTGAGTCAATGTTTGTTGCTAAGATGAAAACGGTTGAATCAATGCTGCTCTTGGTTAAGAACGGGTCTACAGGGTTGCTTCGCTGAAGCTTTTTTATCAATCTGTGTGTAGTTTTGGTACTTCTTATTGTAGCGGGTGGAAATGCAACTTTATGTTCTTTTGAATGCTTATAACATCTTGGTTTGTAATTGTTGATGGCATCAGTGGCGGACCCAGGAATTTTATATAGGGGTGTCCTCTTTTAAAAAATAAATTAAGTAAATCTAAAAATAAATTAATTAATAATTAATTCTTAAATAAGAAAATACCTGACACGTTCAAGTTAAAAAAGTCCACAATGTATTTTCATATTTGGGAATAATTGTAGAATACACTTGATGTCTACACTGCTCAAAATAATTGTCTTTGTATAACCTACTAGACAATCATTTACGAACTGATCACATATTCGATTTCTGAACTTGTTCTTGATGTAACCCAAAGCTAAAAAGACTCTTTCAACACTTGTCGTACAACCATAAAATCAATACAAATTAAGGGTTGCTTGGAATTAGTTTAATTGTTAGGTTTTGAAAATAATTAGAAATAGCTAGAGAATGTCATTTTACTATTACACATTGTTTAAAATCGAACAACAAATGAGTTGTAGCCTAATAAAATTATGTTTAATAATAATAATAGTGTCCTAGGTTTGAATTATCCAAACTACCGCTTGTAGTCCCATGAGCAAACTAAGAAATGAGAGTAGGATAATCATTTTTTCAAATTTCAGAGGTGTCCCCCATCAATTATAATTTTTTGGTCCATACTTAAATTATCACCGGGGGTTGAATAATCGTTATCCCAAAATTTAGGGGTGTCCGGGGACACCCCCAATGTGCCCTGGGTCCGCCACTGGATGGCATACTGCCATTCTTGCTTGGCTTTCTTTTAGTACCAGTTAATCTGATGTGCAAAGTTATGTTTTTTATGGTATGGTTATGATGTTCAGGATATCAGAAGGGATCTAGGGATCTCACATTTTGAAGGAAAGATGGAAGTGAAAGACATGGAGGTAACTGCTTACTGACTACTCAGATCACTTGTAAGGTTTCATTTTGTGGAGGTCTCAATCTGATGGCAACTTGTGGTTTCCAAATCTGCTTTTGACAACAGATAAACAAAAAGTGCGAGAAATGCAGCAACACAAAGCTCAAGTTTTCGACTCGACAAGTACGCATCTAGCTACTCTAAAACCACTTTCACTACTCTCTCCCTCTCCATCTCTCTCCAATCATGTTTAAAACCTTGTCGTCGTTGTTCCTTGTTTACAGATGAGGTCCGCGGATGAGGGGCAAACGACTTTCTTCCATTGCCCTGTTTGCTCTTATACTTTTACCGAGAATTGAACATGGAAGCATCTGAGGTTGAACTATCACTTCACACTTTGTAACCAAGACAAGGTCTCTTACATTCTCGACATAGATAAGCTTCTTTTAGCTGTTACAATGCTTGCATTATTTTGTAAGGAACTGGGAGCCAGAATCCCAGCTAGGTATGTATACCATACTAGTTTTTGTTTGATGACCCATTGGCCAGTTGGCACAGTATGTTATACATTTATAATCTCATTCTTCTTCCCTTGCAATGGATCTATAAAGGAGGAAATAGGGTTCTAGCTAATTTTGGGGGAAAAAGGACACTACATAAGTTAATGCAGTGTACAAGAGAGTCCCTGTTGGTCCTGTGTACTGTGTACAAGAAACAGATACACATACAGGCAAGTCAAATTCCTCATGTTCTATGGTGGAGCTATGAGTTAGGTGCAGAATACACCATTGCATTTTGGTGTAAATGTAACCAAAGAAAAGCTGACAGTTGCAGTTGCAGTTGCACTTGCACTTGCCATTGAGTTATATGGCAATTAGATCCTTGAACTTTGGGGGGTGTCTGCAATTGACCTATGATTGTCCTTTACACTCAACCAATTTTCTGCTTCAAGTTAGGTGAGGACTGAGGAGACTGATTGATTAAAGGCCTCTCCTATTTGCATGTGCATAATTTGCCTTTTCCCCTCTTATTTTGCAATGGCATACCTTGTTCCTTTTTATAATCCAACAAGATCCGCATGAAATGGTTTTTGGATGCATTTTTTCAGTTTGGTACATGATGGATGAAATATCGATTCGTTGAAATGATTATTCACGAAATTAGAATATTGTTATTCATGTATGGTATCGAGATCGAGAACATGCTCAAAATGTATTCGACTTTTGTTGATGATATTGGGTGCCTCTCTGTAATGTTAACATGAGTTGCTTTGCTTTTCAATTTATTGGTCAAATCCATCAACCTGTGAATTTGATGCGCTTCCGTTAAATTTGACATGTTAAAACTATAATCAATTTTCGATTCACGAAATATTGACAAATCATTGGCCAAATTTATGCTCAAGCTCTTAATATTAAATCAACCTTGCACATTCATTGTTCAATTTGCAGAACCAACAAGAATATTAGAACATTTCCCTCGAGTTTACAGCTGCGATTCTTTCAAGTAATCAACCAATTACAACAATTTCCCACCTTTTTCTCTTTTCTTTCTCTTGATTCTTGAATACACTTCATACCAACAAGAACAGCAACAAGGGACGATCTTTTATATGGGGAAGTGAGGAACCGGCCAACGAAGCTCCACCTCATTCTGCAGGATCAGTCCAAAAAACTGAACAACTGTAATTGTCAACTTGGACCACTTTCTGCTGGTATGCACAATAATCTTTATGCAATATCTTAACCTACCTCACGTTGTTTAATCCAACTATATGTCAAGAATCGGAAGGTTGTAAAGACACCAATGTAAGTGAATATCATGTCTTTGTGTGTCGGAAACGGGTACTTCAATATTCATACTCTGGTTCGCGAAGGATCGGATTAGCTGCGTGCGGTTTGTTTGATTGGTTGTCACAAAGGTAGGCAGGAGGGTGTTTGTTTAGTGATAATGTGCGCGGTTTCAAGTCAAGTTCTTTGCTCCTTCCGCTGTCAGCTAGATATCGTGAGACTCGTAGGTAACCACGAATTTAAGAGAGAACATGCACTCTCTCGATGTGCTTAGTCGGTGAAATTTTGAAGAGAAGTGTGGTTTGGTGACCTGAATCGCATATGCACATCAACTGATTGTCGGGGTTTACTTCGAATCGTGTTCCTCTCTGTTCTCCGTATGAAAACTATACCCACCCATTCCTCATCATATTTGAGTTCGAGTTTTATCCACACCACCGAGTAATTGGTTTAGTTCGGTTTAAATTCTACTTCATCGGACTAAATTTGAACGATTAACCATGTTGGTGGATAACATTTCAACCTATTACTGTCAATGCCACTATGTTTGATGATTTAATTGTTCTAAATGGATAATAACCAATGACAACTCGTAAGTACAAAATTTCTCACTGTCCAATTACCTTGTTTTTCAGCGTCAAACATTATAAAGTTATTGATTAATTATGCGACTTATACGAGACTTATGTGCAAGAGAATCAAAGTAGGGTGACCAAATTGTCATTTTACACAAATTTATTTTTAATTTTAATGGTTTTATTTTATTTTAATTTTTATGTTCGCGGAAAAATCCTCGCAATTTGCGATCTTAAGCAGCGTTCCTTTTTCTATCGACCGCAGAGCTGAACGAGGGGAAGAGAGAAAAAAGAGAACTGTTTGCAAAGAAGAAAAACAGAAAAAGAAAAGACAGACAGACAATACACACAGGAGACAGAGCGAGAGAGGTAGAAGATATATAGAGAGAGGGAGGCCACACCAACGAAACCGAAAAGGGGAAATTTTCCTCTTCTCAAGCTTTGCTTCATCTTCGTCAACGTCTCCTTCTTCTTTCTCGTTCTTTTCTGATTCAAGGAAGGACTCAAGAACAGCTCAACAAACCCTAAGTAGAGAGAAGGGAGAGAGAGAGAGAGAGAGGAGGGGAAAGTGATTTCGATTGAGTAGATTATCGCTTTTCTGGCTTTCCTTCCTTTCCTTTCTCGATTCCGTTTTTTGTTGAGATCTTGATTCCTTCAATCTCATCCCTCCCTCCAAAGGTAACTTTATCCTTCTCTCGCCTCGTATCCGTCTTTGTTAATCTGGGTTGTGTCCGGAATCTTTGGCTGTTCATGGGTTCGAATAAGTTTGGTGGGTTCTGATTTCGATTTCTCGTCGTGCATTGCTGCTGCATTTTGTCCGAGGATATTGTAACGACCAATTTGCTTAGGTTCTTTTATATATAAAATGTTTCAGTCCCTGGATGCCCCTTTGTTTGGAAGCTGAGAAAATATGAGGTGAAAAACAATTGACAAGTTTTGTGGGATCCGATAGGAGAGATTGAAACTTGAGCCGACTTTTCATTCTAGTCCAGGAGATAAAAAAAAATGGAACTCTGGGTTTAGCGTGAGCTGTAACTGAGAAGCATTATGATGAATTAAAGCATGCATGGTCTTACTCTTCTTTGGTTTGCCTGCGCTCCTAGTAGTAAAGGTAATGCTATGCTGGTTAGCCTCTGTTTCTTAGCTGTCAGAATTTTGAACTTAGCTTCTGCATTTATGTGGGTACACTATGAGCTCGTCATGTGAAGTAAATGACTGGGGGTGTTGTTTATATCTACTGTGAGAAGTTTGAGCAGCGTAGATGCCTTTGATGGACTTTAGGTGATCAGCATCAATCAAAGTAATAAGGTGTTGATGGAGATTCTCGCTTAGTCTTCATACTGTTCTTACTTTTGCAAATCTGGGGTCTGTTGTGTTTCTATGATGACCAATTAGGCATAGGTTTGAGAAATATAAATATGAGATAGCGAAAACTTGATGAAAAAAATAGGTAAGCTCCTCGTTAATGCTCTAATCTAAGATGGCAAATGTCTCCCTGGACAGTTTCTGGTGATTATACGTTCATCCTGTTTGTATTATGTGAGGTTTTATTACTGCCTTAAGTTCTAGTTAGTGACACTCACGATCAATGTGATCTTGACAATTAGATATGTTTGTCTAGTGTAGTTGGAAATCATGATTGACAACTTAGAGGATACACGCTAATTGCAAGGATGTAGACATTGCATTATAGTTTTTATGTGGTCTTCTGGATTTCTAACTTCGTTCTGCTTGGGCCAATTAGAAAGTATGTTTGACTGAATACTTGATGGTTCAGGTTTACTTCCATAGTACATTTGGATTGATTATCTGTAAAGCCAATATACATACTTTTCTTTTGTTGTTCTGGATAGCTGATCTTCTCCTTTGTGATTTCAAATTGTCATTTTGGTTGTCCTAATTGATGCCTTTGTGATTCTTCTTTTACTTACATATTCTTTTGTTGTCTTTTTTTCGTTATGAATTTTCAGGGTACAAGTTGTGCTTCAATGGCTAATTCCAAAGGTTCAACAAACATTAGAAACTTGATGTACACTGGAAAGCAATCCCTACTTCCTCCAAAAATCCCCTTTCCTGGTATGGCCCCAACATATGTTGAATATATCCCAAGCAATGTGGTTGGGTCAAAAGCTGTACAAAAGCCCAGAGAAGGAAGTACATTCCACCAGCGTACATCTTCTGAGACTTTCCTAATAGAGGACCAACCTTCCTGGCTCGATGATCTTCTGAACGAGCCTGAGACACCAGTTCGTAGAGGAGGTCATAGGCGTTCGTCAAGTGACTCATTTGCTTATGTAGATGTAACGAATAATTCTAACGTAGATTATGTAGCATATGATGACTACCGGTATAAAAATATGACATCAGTACCTTTTTGGGGATCTCAAGAATTTGATTATCTAAAAGATGCCCGTCAAGGTTCTTTCTATGTTGAAGGGAACATGTCAAAACAGAAGAATATGGGGCGTGATTTATATATGAATCCTGCAAGCCGTTCAAGTGGGGTTTCTTCTGTGAGGGAGAATGTTGCTTCACAGAATTCCGGATCATCATGTGCTCGACAGGAACCAGATGGGTCTTCGGCAGGTGAGAAGCAAGAGATTGTTGAATCTGGTCCTCATGATTCAAAACCTTCCTCTGAGAGAAAGGATGGACCTCATGCTAAGCCTTCTGCTTCAGAGGGCGACACAAAACGTGCTAAACAGTGAGTTATTCAACTTTTTGTTGATCTTATTTTAGAATTCCGTTGTATGGTGCAACACATCTGGTACACAAAACAAGCCCCCCCCCCCCCCCCCCCCCCCCACTGAAGCAATTAAGTTACTTGAAAATTATACTTGTTAGTTGAGCATTTTCAGAAAATGAAATGGCATTTCAACATTGGTTTTCTTCTATTTTGCTTAAGAATAGACAGGTCAATGTCCAACAATGGTAGTACATAAAAGGGAAGTGCTTGCTGATGATTAAGTTCTTTCTATGGTGAGAGGCTACATTGAATCACTGCTTTGTGCTTTACTAGTCAGAAGATAACTTCTTTTGTTGCACAATCACTTCACCAAGCTGTTGTTTATTGTTGTTATTTTAGTTCTGATGTAGTTCGAGTCTGGCTGATGTAGTTGTCAGCCATTGGGTCCAACCCCAACTAGTGTAATTGGGTTATGTATGATCTGGTGTGATTGCTATCCTCTCCCTTTTATGTCTCTGGAAGCAGTTAATACAAGCTGTTGTTATCCATCAATTAACTCAAATAATATATAATGCAGGCAATATGCACAGCGTTCTCGGGTCAGGAAGCTTCAGTATATAGCTGAGCTGGAAAGAAATGTGCAGGCATTACAGGCAAGTATAGACTTATTAGCAGAATTGTAATTTGTTGTAGCAATAGTTAAGGTGTCAAGGTTTAAACAGAAATCCTGTATCTACAGGCAGAAGGATCCGATGTCTCTGCAGAGCTTGAATTTCTCAACCAGCAAAATCTTATTTTGAGCATGGAGAATAAAGCTCTTAAGCAGCGGCTGGAAAGCATAGCCCAGGAGCAGCTTATTAAACACTGTATGCTCCACATCTCTATGATCATGTGTTAACCTTCGCTGTTCGATCTTCTTTTACTTAAATTTACTTGTCTAACATAGGCCACTTGGACTACAATGCACTGACAAAAATAAAGGCATACTATGCACTCCAATCTAAAAGTAGGCTCGAAATTATCAAATTTGACACACTACTATTTGTGTAGAATAATGATGTAAGCTAGAATTACCACTAATTTACTCATGTTTATTCAAAATTTTGTCCACGTAATGGTAATTTAGATGAAGCTATAGAGTAACTGGAACATTTTTTAAATACTATATGCAAGTAAATCGTAAATACATTGTCTTGTTCTGCATAATATAATTGAAGATTGGAATTGATTCGAGACGAATCAGATAATTGATATGATGATTGATAGTGCATAGCCTATCCCTAAAACGCTGTGTGTATGATAGACAAACCCATATGCCATATATGTATATGATTTCTTCATCTGTTTCAAAGTTGGATCTATCTGTTTGTTTGCTCCTTAACATGGAAGAGTTGTTTTCAGTGGAGCAAGAAGTTTTGGAGAGGGAGATTGGAAGGCTCCGGGCCTTGTATCAACAACAGCAAATGCCGCCACCGATTCAACAGCGACAGCCATCTTCTAGTCACCATCGCCGCACTAACAGCAGGGACCTTGAATCCCAATTCGGAAACCTGTCCTTGAAACACAAGGACTCTGGTTCTGGAAGGGATTCAATAACTGGTCCAGTCCGCATTTAGATGTACTATTTGTAGTAGTGAATTGAAATGATGGGTTGCTGCTGCTATCTTGCTCCAGAAGAGAGTGATGGGGATCATGAGCCTTCCTTCACCATCAATGACCGTGATTTGCTCATCTTGCATTTGTCTGCCCTTCTCTCGCGTTTCTCCATTAGCTAAGAAAGAAAACTAACTGTTTATGATGCTTCATCATGTGCACCTGGTGGTCATTGCTCCGGACATTGTATTTTTATGAGGCCAATGACTCACCGGAGGTGGCGACGGAAAAGAAAGAAGAAGTGACCATGTTGTCTGTGGTCCTCGTTTGTATTTTAAGGAAAAAGAAAAGAAAAGAGTAAGTAGCTGTAATTCGAAGGGAGAACTTGTTTGGCTTCTCAGAATTCTGATTTGGAGTATATCTTATCCTTTTTCCAGTAAATCCACAATATAAGCTGTGGAAGGATGGAAGGAAGTCCAATGTAGTTGAAGAAGCAGTGTTTTAGGGAGGGAATATGTTTCTTATCTAAACTCTGTTTCTATGTCTAGAGATGTAATTTGTCCCGGAAAGAAGTGCTCCGGTTGAGATTTGTGGCCTTGTGCTTCTTCCTATTAGATTCACGTCTTTCCCTCTTGACTTCAGCCTGTGTTGAGAAGTGGATTTATTATGTTTACTATTCAAGTGCTCGAGAAATGGTTGTTTGTGATGGTTTTCTGCATATAATTGTTTGGTTATCTCTAAAGGGCGTACTATTTGTAGCCTAAATTATCTTTATTTGTAGTCCTAAATTATAAAAAGTACAATAATACCCATGACATTTAAATATATTTACTTCACACATTCCAAGACCAAAACATTCAAACACTTTTCCAAACACAATCCTACAATACTCGCCGCCGGCGACCGCCACCTCCGCCGGCGACCGCCACCTCCCGACGACGATAGACCCTTTCTCCGACGAGGTACGCCGGAAAATTACCCGACGACGATGGCCGGACGTCCTGCCGGGACGTCGCCGGAGACGGCCGGAAGTTCTGCCGGGACGTTGCCGGCGGCGGACGAACGTCCTGCCGGGACGTCGCCGGCGGCGGACGAACGTCCTGCCGGGACGTCGCCGGCGGCGGACGAACGTCCTGCCGGGACGTCGCCGGCGGCGGACGAACGTCCTGCCGGGACGTCGCCGATTTTTTATTTTATTTTTAATTTTCTGTTAATTTAAATTTGTGAAGTATATTAGATTTTTTAAATAGATATTAATTTAGATTTTTCGGTTATTATTTTAGATTTCTTATAATAGATTGATGAATAATTTCGATTTTTAAGAACATTTAGTGATTTTATTACAGTTCATTATTTTATGAATATTTTAATTATCATATTGTTTAGAAAAATTTGTTCTAATATTATTTTTAAAAGGAAGGGAGTGTTTGGTTGGAGTTGTAACAAGTTCAATATTTTAAAAGAAAGGAAGGGTAAAATAGTAATTATATTCTCTTAGGGCTACAAATAAGAAAAAGTTAGGGCTATAAATAGCAATTCAGTATCTCTAACCGTCCTCACAGTTTCTGCACTAGGCATACCTAAATCACCATTAGTGGAGAAACATTGGTGATTAAATACTGTGTACTTTAAGGTGGGAATGATGAAAAGCATTTGATTTGGTGAATGGGGAGTTATTGTTTGCTACTGCTACTGCAGAGGTTCTAGAGTTTATGGAGCAGTTCTTAGGTTGGTTTATAGTTTGTTAATATACAGCTCACCTAAGGATTAGCTTGAAATGAAGGTTCCTGCACATTCCCCACTAAACAAAGTCATTAGGCAAGGAGACAACTAGGCCGTTGCTGAGGATAGTTTCCATTCCATCCTCCGTTACAGAATGAAATCAGTGACTTTCAGCAAAGCCAGCCAAAAGAACTAGCAGAAGAACAAAAGGAAGAGAAAAGTGGAGAAGACGAGCGACAGAGGGAATGGATATACAAAGGGAAGAGGAGAAGCATTAGGGAGCCTGGGATAATCATCTGGCTGTGGCATTACACATTCATCTCCGTTGAACATAATCCTTCTTGGGAAAGCCCATCCTCCACCGAAACTAAACCCTGGCTCTTTTGCCAGCAGCATCTCGCTTTGAACATTCCCACCATTCCCAGATTGTAGAAGCATGTCGTTATAGTACTTGATCCCCCAAAACATCCCGCTATCGTCTGCGCACATAATATTACAAAACCAGAATGAGAGACTCCGTCTCACTCACCCTGTCACAACAATGCTCTAACACACTGAGCTAATTATGCATGAAGTTCAAGTTATGGAAAGTAAAAACAGGCTTACTGGTGGTGCGAAAGTCATTGAGTGACGCATAGCTGAAGCTGAAAACCGTAGTTATGTTCTTCAAGTTAGGGTGCAAGACAACCATGTTCCACTGGGAGTAGTTCTTGATAATGTTCCAGTTTCTGATGGTCATCTTCACTCTCCAATACTGTCTGTAACTCTCCTTTACATGCCAATGAATCTGTATGGGGCACATGTGGTCTGTGCATCTCACCAATGGAGGAGGCTCCTCGTTTGGATCGTGCTTTTGCTGCAGCAGAGGTGGTGTCTCCTTCATCCTGCCATCCACTCGAAAGTATTTAGCCAAGCTATGCTTAGATCAATTTGCTTAATTCAGCAGACCATATCATAAACAATAGAAGATTGATGAATGGAAGGCTTGTTTGTTAAATTACTGGACGCATTTGGAGCCTGGCTGTCCTTGGCATGCACAGCTGCATTGAGGGCAATCAACAATTCTGCTATCATAGAAAGCTGACATCGAAACACAGCATTTTGGAGATGGTGATGATAAGAACGAGGAGTAACCACACACCGCATTCCATGTCCCTGCAAAGCAAACAAATCAGTCTAATCAAACTTAAACCGTTGAAGAAACAGTGGTGGGGTTACAGGAATTGTGGTAAGGATAATCTATCACAATCATACTGAGAACTTGAGTCCATCTGCGGCCACCATCAACAGGGATCTTGGTGGGTCGGACCTCGAAAGGCTGCCCACAAGTGTAGCCAGGCAATCCAAGGGTGAAATTCTCAACCATTACGAAATCGGAGTAGTTGGAAGCAGTGCTCCCTATAGTGGAAATCTGGAAAGATGCTCCATACTTGGAAGTGTCCTGTGTCATGGACGACAGGACTCCTCCTTTGCAGCAGTTCTGGAACTGTGTATTGTACGGAGCTCCGGGCAAGAGATCGATGATGACCGGGTGCTTATCGCAACAATGTGGGAGTTCTTGACCCTTGAATCTGGAGCAGTCACCTTGCTGTGTTGCTTCAGCTCCAAATATGGCACTTATGGCCTCCTTGCCCTTCCAGTCCCACCCTAGCTTCCACCCTGGTGCTTCTATGTGTCTGTACTTTTGGAAGTTTAGTATTGTTACTTTCACCTGAACCAAGTCATAAAAAAAACATGGTAAAGTTGCAACCTTTTTCAACTACTGAGGTTAGCTACTACAGTTTGCTCTTTTGAATAGTCACAATCAATTTGTGCTCTTAAGTAGTCAAAAATTACAATCTGTGCATACTTGGTTAGTTTACTTGAGACAAAAAGTTTGAAGCTTAACATCTTATGATGCCGGTAATAAGCGAAAAAATGAGTAGTTGTGTTACGTTTACAGAACAGGTATATCGTAACTGTTCGATCCGGTCGAAATCTGACGACTAAGATTACAATCTGTGGTAGGTGTGCATACTTGGTTAGTTTACTTGAGACAAAAAGTTTGAAGCTTAACATCCTGTGATGCCGGCAACACGCGAAAAAATGAGTAGTTGTGTTACGTTTACAGAATAGGTAACTGTTCGATCCGGTCGAAATCTGACGACTAAGACAGAGAGTGGAGAGAGCAGAGGTGGAGTGAGCATTAAAATATTGCAGGGCGGGTCAGGTAAGGTTAGAGACTATAAACAAAGACTAAGTTTCGTTTCCCCTATGAATCTAAACCACGACGGCCGCCATGCACTCTCTGCCTCGCCGTTAAAAAAAAAAAAAAACAACAAATGATCAAAACAAAACAAACCATCGAAAGAATCAGAGTGATATTAGCAACAATATCAGGTTTTCTTCTTACCGTATCAGAGCTACCCGTTGATAGCAGAAGATCCCATTTGATTGTTATGTTGGCCTGAGGATCCATCGGATCAAAACCGTCTGCATTTGTTTCCGCCCAGAAAATCGGGTTTAGAATTGCGACTAACGAGTGACATGAAAGGAAAGAATTGGGGGGGGGGGGGGGGGGGGGGGGGGGGGGGGGGAACAGGGGACGAAACAGAGGAGAGCAGAGAAGCCATGAATGTAGTAGCACTTACAAGAAGGTGAAAAAGAGAAGGAGACGACGATGATGCAAACCAAAACCGAAATAAAACCCATTGATCTTTGATCCAAAACCCACGATGGGTTCTTCTTAGAATCTCAAACTATGGTACAAAAAATCAGCTGAATATCGGACATGATCAACTTCACTCAGAGACTACAGGGCTCTCAAGAAACGAATCAGCATGGGAACTTCACTCACTCTGTGAATAAAAGGGACGTATTGGCTGTTGGTTTTGTTTTCGTTCGTGTCTCTTTCATTTCATCTTTTTGTCTCTGGCTTCACAATATCCTAATTTTGACGCTTCTAGCTGTCAAAGAAACGGGAGAGAGAGAGAGAGAGAGAGAGAGAGAGAGAGAGAGACAGAAAGGAGCAAAATGGTTCTTCGTTTTTGGTCAGTTTTTTAATTAAGGGGAAGTGAGGAGATTAGCGTGACATTAATATGGGGAGAGAGAGTAGCTCTGCCCAGATTTGGAATGCCGTGTAGCGCACAGCTTTTGGATTTACAGATTGCAAAAAAGAGAGAAAGCAAATGAAACGGTCACAATATGTAATGCCTGAGAGAGAATGCTAGAAATTTCATAACTTTACTATTGCACTCTAATTCTCAGTTTAAATCGCATATTTGAAAACAACGAGTCGATGAAGGTAAACGACTCGTTAATCTCGTCGATTTGATTCGATCACGGTTGAAGTCTGTAATCTGTATCATATTAGATTCACAAATATCCCCTTCCTCCGATTTTCCAACCTCATTTACAGCGGCCACCTCCAAACTCCCAATCCCCTGCCCTGAAAGCCATATGTTTCCAATACATTGATCCTCACGCTTCCATTCTCCTCTTAAATGGGGTTCTGTTCTTTTCCTGTAAAGTTGTTGCATGGTAATAATATTCATTCTATCTTGATCGACTCTGCAATTGGTATCGTTATGCAAAAATAGGAGCATGTTTGTAAGGAAGCATCGTCCAGAAATGAAAAGGTAACATGCTGCAGCATGGCTGATGGATGGTTGTAAGTTGTAACCAACGAGAGAAATAATGGCGTCTCTTACCCATTTTTTGCAGGGAGCTTGATTTAGCAATTGGGAAATTATTCTGCTGCCTGTTTTAAGTAAGAATAATCGGCTATTTTTTGCCAAGACAGAGTTGGAATAGGTTCATACATAGTTGCCAGCTAAATTACAGCTAATTAATCATCCCCCCAAGTTTAATTTCCATCCATGAATTATTGAGAGAATAAGCATCTTCCACTATGAAAATTAATACTGGCCTTTACCCTTAACAACAACTCCTCTGTTTCTGTTAGTAACAGCAGAGTATTCTTATTGTCTGGTTCAGTACACCTTTTGCTCTCTACCACGAACTATTCAAAATGTTGTTTCTCTCTCTGGATACTGTTGAATTTTGGAAACAAAAGATATCCCTCGAGATTGTTGTTTCATGCATGACATGGAGAGAGATACGGCCATCACATTTGGTTACTATTTTCCCTCCGATTTTCCAACGATTCGATGGAGGAGAGAACTCACAAATGAATTAAAATGCACCACTGGTATCAAAAAGAAAAGTTCATTGCTGCACTCACTGCATACTCCTTGTATGTCATATCACCCATCATGGACTAGGACCTCAGTAAATAGATAGTCTTGTTCACGATGTGCATCAATGAAACGGTGCATACAATCTCTCGTAACGGCAATAATCTGCACCTACTGCTGTTAATAGGAACTGTGGTAAAAGGAAGTATACAGCAGCATTATCAAAGGTTTCTTTGTCCAGACAAATTTTACCCCAGCCCTGAATGGTTGAGATGATGAAGGTACACATAGTTATCGCCATAGTTGCTGGAGTGGAGCAAAAACAGTAGTTCCATTTGGAGTGATCCTTGTGAGTGCGGCGCATTGAGCAAAAGCACATAACCTCAGGAGAGCGCTGGACCTGAAGCGGCACAAAAGCATCTCTGGAGTCCATTAGTGCAACTTATGCATGTCTACGCCTTTTCGAGCCATCCTCTGCATAGTACTTCCATTTGGAATGATCCAGGGTGCTTATATCATCTAGTTCAGCTATAGCAAGAAGGTACTCTGTTAGCTTCACGAGCTCTTGGTCACTATCTCGGTTGGCATGAGCCTTCCTGAAGGGCTTAATTGTCAACCCATTTTGCGGGTTCATAACAAAATTACGTCTTAGATCATCGAACATGATGGTGTTCTTCTTACTGTAAAACTGAGAGGCAAGCAACAAAAGTTTATTAACCTGATGATGCTGATAGAACATGCAAACTTCCTTTGTCTGTATGTAACTGTACGTAAAAGTATTGGGGTTTTGTTTCTTGTGCGTTTATGTGGAATTTTAGCAGCAGTTTGACTGCAGCCTCATAGAGACATTGGGATTAAACCCGAATTGCCACCGCTTCGTATGAACAGGGACATTTCAGAATATAACTAATCATGCACGCAGAGCAGAGTAGAATGAGAATCTAACAACGAATTTTGCATGAGGTAAGAATCAAAGTATGGTAATGAGTTATACCTCGGGGAAATGAGCCCATATTAATCCAAGCGGCTTGCAGTCAAAGATCCCACGAGCATCAGTTTGCACTGTAATCATTGCTAAATGGTCCAGGAGAGCAGTAATTTTATAATTGGGGTTACTTAGTACTCCAAGCTCTCCCATCTTCAGTTCAACCCACTTCATGCTGCACAAAAACACATAATTAAGTTTATAGGAAGGGAATTTGCACCCTGATCATGCAAGAAAGAAATTGTCCATATTGATCAGCACTAGACTGAATTCTGTAGTTGAAGTTCCTTATATGTTGTCTTGAAGACTGAATAGGGAATTAATAAGAATTACCATGTTCACACCACTAGAAGCAAGTATAAATTAAGGAACTAAGATCGCAAAATACGCGGGGTTTGCTATATAGCATTGGCAAAGAAAAATGATTGATATGACAAGGAATCACCATAATAGGTTAGAACTGGAATGTAGGGAAAGATATCAAACCTAGTTGCGGACCATATCATTATATCATATTCTGTATAAGCTGCTGTAAGGAATTCATGAAGATCTGAAGAAACTGATGTTAGAAAACAGTACACGGGGGAAAAACATAAGATCACATTTAGCTACAACAGTTCGCTCACAAGGGCGCATTAGTTGCATAGGGTTCTCCGCTGTTGATCGATGATCAAAAAGGGTGTAATCAATATCCAGCACGAGCAACTTCTTTCCCACACGACACGGATTACGGAGCTTGATCTAGAGCGCAACAAAAAATAGAGCCAATTTCGTTAATAAGCTCTAAATGGCATGAAATCAGACAACAGATCAAGAAGCATCAGTAAATTTGCATAACTCTGTAACATCCTGAACGGATGCGAAGCACATGTTAAAGTTCCCAAACTAAATTTCCACATAGCCAAACTATGCATCTCATCCTAGCCATCCTGCTGAAATGGCAAAAATAATTAAAGAAAAAAGTTTTGACCTTTCACTGAAAAGAAAACCAGAAAAGAAGGTATGTCAGCTGTTCATTGGTTGTTTCGAAAAACATGGACTGCATGCCTTGGTCAAGGCAGTTTCATCACAGATTATTTAGCTAGACTTGGTCAGGGCACTGTCATTGATACTTATTTCAATGAGCATTCATCCAAGCGCCACCATGGCATAGCAGATTTTGAACAAATCCTCACATCATATTCTGATGCATTAGGGTTCTGTTTGCAACCACTTTCGGGGGAAAAGAGACTCCAAGTGGACAAATGCTTACCATATTATACTATACAAAAGTACAGGAGACAAAGCTGACTTCACTAGGTAGACAAATGCTAAACTAGAACATAAAACCGGTGGTTTCTTCCAAGAGAGGCTGCAGTTTGAAATAGCAAGAATTGTGCTCAAACCAGCAGCTACATTTCAAGGGAAAACGATACCCCGATGACACCATACCAGGAACTTGGCGTAATTTACACAGAATGTCACCTCAACTCAAGTGAGCTAATAAACCTCAATCTAGATTCTAGAAGAGAAAAAAATGTAGTCCTTCAATAGCTCATTCCGCTACTGTAGATCGAGCGACATAAAAAAGTTGAGAGCTTTACCTTGTATTGATCTATACGCCTCTTCAACTTCATCTTGTTAACTTCCTTGTCCTTAATTTCGACAGCTTCATCTTGCCCAAGCTCAAAATCGTCAACAATCTCCGGGTCATCCACTGGGTCAACAATTATGTCATCCTCCACAGTCCTGCAAAACCCAATACCCAGTTCTAAGTTCGACTTCAATATCAGAATTCGGAGTCAAGAAAACCCAGCAAAAAATAGCAAGATCACGATTTCCTAAATGCTTCATACAAGACAATCACGATCAGCACCGACACACGGAAAGTTCCCGTGGAACCGAATATACGCTTTGATCGAAGAAGAGAAAGAGAGGAGAATCGAACCCAATCATCGTCATCTTGAGCGAAGACTTGAGGGGGAGCTGGGAGAGGATAACGGTATCATCGGCGAGCTTGTTGCCGATTTTAGGGTACAAGAGCTTCTGTCTTTTGGGCAGTACATTGGTGACTTCGCAAATCCGTCGCTTCAACTCGGCCACCGAATCGTCCCCGCAGACACGGACAGTGTACTCCTTGCCGCTCCACTTCACGGTTAGAGTCAGCTCCTCCACCATCGCCGCTGCCGAGGATGACTCTGCCGCCATTTTTCTGCCACTCTATTTTGGTTTCTCTGAGGAAGTTCTTCTGGCAAGTTTTGAAGTTTACGCTGCTAGGTGGAGTATATGAGTGCGTTTCGGTGGGCTCCATACGGTCAGCGGAGCGGCCCGGCCCATGTCAACATAGGCCCTTCAAAGTTCAAACCTCACAAGGGCAAAAGCCCCTTCAAGTTTAGTGAGGGTATGATTGCCCAAGGGTACGATATAAGTTATTTTCGGCTCTCGTAAAAACGCTAGGGTTGGTTTGGATAGATTAATTGTCAATGCGATATTTGTAGATTCAAATAACTTGTTAATTGTTTATCTGGTATTTTAGTGCTCTTTTATTGATAATTGGATTAAAATATTTTGTTTGGTAGAACCATGAAAATATTGTATTTGACAAAAGCAAAACGGTAAAACGAGTTATTTCGAAATAACACAGGGGATAGAAGTTATTTCAAATAAATCCTTTTGAGTTATTTGTAAATCATTCACTGACCAAATAACTCATTTCAGTAAAATGTTGCCAAATAAGGTATATGTGTTCAAATAACCCAATCAAATACTTCATGCAAACGACCTCTAGGATTATATCCAAATCAAATTGCCCTTTCAAGTGAGAGGCCTGGATTTCATTTATCAGAGGTTAAATAACCAATATCATACCAACAGTTCGGTCAGAAAAACTTCTTACTGGAGGCTATATCGATAGGCGGTACTTAGTAGTATGAAACGACTGAATCACGATGTCAACATAAAATACCTAATCGCTGAATTTTTCGATACGACTTCCAATACGGTTTAACAATCATTGCATTTTACTAATTGGTTTGGAAATGTCACGTAATACGTTAATAGGATAAAAAATGGTGTGGCTCTGAGGGGGGAAAATGCGATAATGAGAGTATATATAACATTTGTGATATTTATGAAAAGATTTGGAGGTTGGAATTTGGAAATTTAACATTTTCTTACCCCAAATATCATCTTTCAAATTACTTGCTGTTCTCGCAATTTTGCTAATGGCTCGTACAAACAAACTGTATATGAAAAGTAAACGAGGTTGGGTCCTAGCTAAGAGTTCGAATGCTAACTGGCATTCATTTAGCATGGTCGACCCATTTAGGGTTTTTGGCAACTGCGAGAATGATGGAGCACGATGACGATCGTCGAGGTTTGGCAATTGTCGACCTCGTCGAGCTGTGGATCGAGGTTTGAATTTCAACGTCCACTCGAAGGGAAAAAAAATATGTGTGTGTTTTATTCGTTCGTTGAATAATACTAACAGTCAAAAGTTGACCATCACCCTATCGTACAGTCACAATTAGGTTAAGATCTTCTTGTGACCATAACTAAACATCGTTTATCGCGGTATACGACAATAAGAAGGCATCGCGACAGAACGTACTTCAAAGGTGATGTCAACAAGGCAAGTAACATTTACAAGACTCGCGGCGTGGTTTGCCACAACTTGACGTGGCTTGATACCCGAACTTGTGCTTACACAAGAAGGGACATTCTTCGTATACACATTTTTCAAAATCTGGGAATTCCCCTTTCAGGCAGTATGATACAGGGGGCGACAGAGGATCCAGGTACCTTCCTGTATCAATCAAACGATTTCAAATTATTAGCTCCTAAACCTTATATAAGTTTTGAATTATTGTATTTTCGATACCAAAAAGAATCAATGAATATATTTACCTTCACCGTGAACGACAAAAAGCACCATTATGAAGAGAGCCATAGCTGAGAAAGTCTTCATATTATGTTGAATACAAAAAAAAAAAAAAAGGTATTTAGAAGAGATCTAAGGGATGAGAGGTAATAACTTTGAAGCTTTTATTTATAGGAGAAAAAGTCATTAGTAAGAAGAGCTGCTTATTTCTCATTATTTAATAATTAATAAAATATACAACAAAGAATCGCGATTTTTGCTACAAGAGAATAGGACGTCGACCTAAACCTCATATATCCTTTATGTTTCAGTTAATAAAGGAAAATCGCATAAAGCGCAGGTTGATTCGGTGGGCTACATAATTGGATTTGTTTTAAAGCATGAAGAGTTTTAGATAAAAAAAAATTTCATAACAATTTTTATATGTAGGAAGGAGATAGGATAATAAACATTTATTAGTGTTACTGTAATGTTAGTTAACTTATAAGCTTGTGTTGGAAAGCCATTTGAAGGACGAGAAGAAATCATTTCTGCATTCTATAGAAGTTTATGGGCTTCATAATTTCAGCGGCCCGGCCCGGCCCGTGTCAATGAAGGCAGTTCAAGCATAGTGAGTTAGTGACCAACACTACAGCCTGTTTGGATTGACAAAAAAAGTAAGGAATTGGAATTCCATTTCCAATTCCATTTCCATATATTATGTTTGGAATAATAAAAAGGTTGAAAATTGAATTCCAATGGGTCTAAAATATGGAAATTACAATTCCTATCAAAAGTGATAGGAATTGAGAGAATGAAGATGAAATTAGTGGACCCATCAATACTTTTTATTATTTTGTTGACCCACTATCATTTTACTCTCTTTCTCTCTCATTCATATTTCATTTCCCAAAATAAAACAAACATATTACATTATTTATTATGGTTAAAAGTGCAATTCATTTCCATAGTTGTAGGAATTATACCAAACACTAGAATTGGAAATGGAATTCTATAAAAATAAAAAATTGAATTCCATTTCCATTTCCATTTCTTCCGGAATTGTATCCAAACAGGCTGTAAAGGATATGACTGTCCAAGGGGGAAAATCACGCTTAATCAGACATTCAGAATTGTCAACAATTGGTATTTTCTCATCTTATTACTGACCCTTACAATCATTAGTATTGATTGATTACTTGCTAATGAAAAAAATTCCATTCGATTATTGGCCCAGGGTTGAATTCAGAGAGGTACGTAGTTGTTGTGTTTTCATTTTCATATTGCCAGACCAGGTGAACTCCAAGTAGGAATGGCAATGGGCAGGTACCGGTGGGTTTCTTGGTACCAAACCCGTCCCGTGGCAGGGCAGGTCCAGGTCGGTAATTTATTACGGGTCGCTGGTCGGGGCAGATCGACCCAATGGGTATGCAATTTACATGAAAAACATTATAAATATTCTTTATTTTTATCATAAGACCAATAAAACAAACAATATTATGATAAATGTAGTTAAATTATTAGAAAAATTGAGGTTTTCACTAATTTACAACTTTATTATAACTAAAATATGATGTAATAAAAGAAATTTTCTTAATTTGACTAAGATTACATGTAATTTAGACAAGAACGGGTCGATAATGGGGCGGGTCAGGGCAGGTCGGGTCGATGAGAGTACCCATGCCCACCCCACCTACAGGGCGAGTCGGACCCGCCCAAAACAGGTCAAACATGTCGGGTAAAACGAGTCAGATCGAAATTGCCATCCCTAACTCCAAGGGTACTAGTTGACGGAGGAATGCATAATTAACTTTTAAAAGTATACTAATTTATGGACGAATGCTTTATGCTTTACTAATTAATCCTTATTAAATGAATTCCAGAATACTAGGTTGCTAACTAATCAACACACAACACTTACTATTGATTATTAAAGATTTATATACTAAGAAATCCATGATCATCACTAATTAAGTAGAAGCAATAACCAATGTTGATATCATTACTAAGCACAATAACCAAAATACTTACTAGCTAACGAGGTATTACTAAGAAATTCCCTAATCATATTACCTAAGCCACCACAATCCAATCACTGCCAAGAGTTGGAGCAAGGATCTCTTTTTTCTTTTCTTTTCTTCTTTAGATCAAAATAACTAATTTCGTCATCAAATTTCCAACATTATTACGATAACTTCAACAACTACATCCATCTCGAATTTAAATAATGATCTATCTGAACTTCAACTATTTAAAATTATATAAATCCAACATTATTCTCTTAGTTTGAGAAAGAAGCATTAATCCTAACACATTGACTTAGTTATATCACTTTGTACGTGCATCTCCACTTAATTTACAAAAACCATCCTTAACATTCATCATACACCATGTTTCATGATCGAAGGAAGTAATAAATAATGGTCAAATCCAGAAACTAATAACGATAACAAGGTCGCAAATGCTTTATTATTTATTTTATGTACAATCCCTTATTATTATTGTCATTAATTATTTGTTTTCATGCACACTCTTGCTTGCAATTTATCTTATTTGATGGACTAGTTCTTCATAATTTGGCTGATGATGTCTTCCGAAATTGCGGCGGCGTCCTTGGAAATTCCATTAATACCCATCATCGAGTATCCAACACAGTAGATCCCATGCTCTCCTTTCCAGTGGTTTGGCATTTCATTTTTAGGCATCCCCTCCCCGTTAAATATGTAGCTGAAATCCTGACAAAAAAAAAAAAAAAAAAAAAAAATTCATTAAACCAAATTATTTACATAAACTATCCCATCAGAAAAGGATATTATTTAAAAATATTTACTAATTAACCTCGAGCCAACTATTTGCAGAGCTTCTATAACCAGTAGCAAACAGGATTGCATGAAAACGACGCGTCGTGCCATCTGCGAACTCCACCTCGTTCGTTCCTTTCAGTACTCTCTCAATTCCCGGGACGACCTGAATGAATTATTTTAATCGTGTAATCATCAATACAGACTCTTACTAATCATATTTATATATGCATATGCATGTTTACTTGGATTTGTCCGGAGCGGATTCGGTCGACGGTGCCGACGTCGATGACCGGAGTTTTCCCGGTGGTGGACTTGTGGGTGAAAGGGCCCTGCAGGGCCGGGCGGTGAATCCCGTACTTGGGCAAATCCCTGTAGTAGAAGCTCGCCATGGATGCAACGATGGAGTCGACGTACTTCATCTTCACGTATTTCAGCATTTGCATTCCCAAATGCACCATCCCCCTCGTCACCACATGAAACTGCATGCATTTTTGCATTAAACGTATATAATAAGCATTTGTTCACGCTGCCGGCCGGCCGCCGGATCGGGCATCCGGCCGGAGGCCACGTGATCGATGAATCTTTATGACACTGAAAAGGGAAACAACGA